CATGTGAGCAGGAGCAGGAGCAGGGCTGGCATCACCCCCTGCCCCTGGCCATGCCACAGATGGCACCAGCAGCTTCCCAGGCTCCTGCACCTCCAGCTGGCACAGGAGGAGCAAACAAAGAGGGATGAGCAGTCCCTGCTGCAATGTGACCTTCACATCCCAGCCATGCATCGCTCCTGACACACACACACAAGTGACAAAGGCAGAACCTGCCAGTCAGCCTCTGACAATGCTCTGGAAATGACAAATAAATATTTAAATATCACTTGAGCTGTGCCTGCTGCAGATCCCTGCAGAACAGAGCAAGGTAATTCACAGATTTGTCCTGCAGGACTTGAGGAAGAAGAATGGCATCAGAGGAGGGGGATTCTGGCCAGGATGGAGCTCCGGCTGCTCCCCCAGCCCTGCTCTCACATCAAACCTGCCCTGACTCTGCTCTCAGGGCACTCCAGCAAGGCTGATCCTATTTCAGGACCTGTGGGTGGCAGAGGGAGGAAAGGACCCAAATCCCAGCACCCAGGGCTGGGCACTGTCCCCATCCATTGTCCCCATCCATTGTCCCCATCCATTGTCCCCATCCATTGTCCCCACCTGGGAGGCACGAGCTGCCCTTGTGCATGCCAACAGCTGAAGGGTTTGCAAGGAGGAGGTTCTGACAAGCAATAAAAAGATGCTTTAACCAGCTTGGGAAATAGCACAGGGTGAAGTGGATAAACTTTGCCAGCAAAAGGTCAAGGTCCTTACAGCTTATGGATGCCACAGCAATGCAAATGTGCTAAGGGGAGCATTTACAGTGATGTCTGACTAACAGCAAGTACATTAAATTAATATGGGTTGAGAATAGCAAGAAAAAAAGAAACTCTTTAATAAAGAAATAAATGTCCTCGATGTAATATTACCCATGTGCATTTTGAACACAACCAGCAAAGATGCAGTGGGCTGAGAAGAGTCAGCACAAGCATTTTTCTGTTCCTTAAATAATATGATTATTTTCTTTTTAGCAACAGTAGGAGATATTAATTGTACAGGAATAAAATTAAGGATTCTAGTTTAGTAGACATGCTTTGCCCATATTTCA